TATGCTGATGTACCTGTTTAGTGATTATGCCTTATCCATTACCATGATGTTTGTATTGAGACCTTATGAGTATTCTGCTTATTTGGTGAGCATGGGGATTGTCCATGCCACATTGATTTGATGATGTTTTAGTTTGATTGAGTTGTATAAACTATCAGGATCTGTCTGGCCTACGTGTTGTAGTTCCGTGACTAGAGACACATTCAATTATTTATTTATTGAGGTATTTCAGTTAGATGCCTATTTGCAATTACATACAAGCAATATTTTGAAAGTGATTTAAGTAATCAACTTGGTAATTGATAATGACGTCATAATTGAAAAGAAAAAGTTATTCCGCATTTTTAATTAAGCTTGGCTTAATACGATGACAAGTTAACAAATCGGGTATATACGGGGTGTTACATTTTATGGTATCAGAGCACTTTTTAGGGAAAAGCCTGTATGTATTGCAATAACTTAAGATGTTGTGTTGTAAGTATTGTCTTGTGTGTTTCTCTGTTTTGTTTTGCTATGATGATGGAATTGTGACCACATTGCGTAGGCCTGATCAACTCATTCTTTGTGTACCTTATGCAGAGTTATGGTAATGCCTAGGAGAAATCGAGAGACGAACGAGGATCAGCCTGATCATGTCCTGACTGCATTAGCTGAGATGCAGGCGGCTAGACTAGCCAATCAAGAGGTCGCCAGATTGGCCAACTTGGCAATGATGGACGCCGTTTGAGAGGCAAACACTACAAGAAAAGTGGCAAATCCCGTCGGTCGTATACAAGCGGTTACCAGCAAACCGCCTGTGAAGAAGCATTTTAGGCGGATATAAGGGCGGATAAGAAGGCCGACGATGTTTGGGGTCATAACCCGTCTGATTCAGTGGCGTTTAATTAGGACCGCCTTTGTTTAAATAGAATTCTGAGGCGGAATTCTGGCGTTTGAGCTTCACCGCCTTCAAACATTTGCAATACCAGGCGGGTCTGACGTCGGATATGGGAGGCCGTCGTTGAATTCGTGTAAAAAGAGGCGGTTAGATTTGAACCGCCCAAAAATCTGAAGCGATTTAGGTAAACAGAGACGGGTCTATGTTTTTTCAATTAATTTCTTCTTCTTCTGTCCGGCCAAACAAGTCAATAGTTTTGGTTTTACAATTCAAAGAGAAGAAGGAACTTGCCAAGGTCACGAAGAGTGAACGAACTTTTGGTACAAATGTCTTTTTCATTTTAAATTTTATTTCATTTTGTTAGAGGTTGTTTGTGAATATCTAATTGTTCTTCAAATGTCAACGAAGGACTGATTTTATGAGTTTCTTTTCCTTGTAGAAGCAACAACAGAGCAGTGATGGAGGAAAGGGCAAAATTAAGGATCTTTCACGGCAGTAGGATCTTGCATCATTGTTGTCGTTCATGCTTGTATAGGAAATCTTGGTGAAGCTCGAATATCATTTAGTTGGTTTGGGCAAGTGACTTGAGGGTTGGTTGGTTCTTACTGTCCAACGCTCGAGGGTCTCAGAAGGTGTATTTTTGGTTAGGGCAATGTCGCCTTCAAACGCTCGAGGGTTGCTGCTGAAAAAGAAAAGAAGAATCCCACGAGCAGATCTAAGTCATCTGACAACTCCATTGCTGTTGAAGAAGAAAAAGGAAATCCAAAGGTATTTGATGTACAACCCCTTTCTTTATCTAATCATTTGGTTGTTTCAATTATCTGCGCTGGTAGATATTGGGTGAACTTAATTGGTGACATCAGATTTTTATTTTTGTGATGAATATCTAGTTTTCTGATCTTATTGGTGATTTCGGTAACTTTAAGATGTATATATATTTTTTAATGGGGTGGGGAGAGGTTCTAGATAAATTGTTTAGGGGAGTGGATGTTTGATGGTTAAGAAAATATTACTATTATCATTTTTTTAGATGAACTTCTGAAGTTGGGTATGGGTTCTCCTAGTTTGTAACTTGCAGTTCTGTGTATAGTTTAAGTGGTAACCCATTGTGTTCTTGAAGAAATTTATTGATTTAAAATGTTTTGTTGATGTTTGAAGATTAACCAAGATGGGAGCCCTTCGGTGGGATGATATTGTGCATGGACACCAAGAATGGAGACTTGTGACTTGCATTTGGTTACATGCTGGAATCATTCATTTGCTAGCAAACATGTTAAGCCTGGTCTTCATCGGCATTCACCTTAAACAGTAATTTGGGTTTGGTATATATTTTCTTTTTCATACTAATATATGTTCTTATGATTACACTAACATCTTTAGTACAAAGTGAGGAAAAATAAAACATAAGATGAACATTAGACATCTGATCTAAGGACACCTTTAAAAGTTTTACTTTAATAAATGGTTATGACCTAACATTTTCGTTTGTCAAACTTGTGGCAGTGAGGATGGGAATCATATACCTATTGTCTGGATTTGGAGGGAGTGTACTGTCTTCTTTATTTATCAGAAACAACAAAGTAGCGGTGAGGATGGGAATCATATACCTATTGTTGTTTACCTCAAGTCTTTATTTATGAATATATGATTAGGGCATCATGTTGTTTTTCGTATACTTAGTATTACACTTCCAAATGCTTCTTTTTGCGTATTTTTGTAATTATGTATTTCACCGTAGTAGCTGTGTACAAACTAACGTTTTTTTTCCTCAATATGAATTGAGGGGCCTACTTTGTGAGGTTACTCTTTGCTTTGGAATATCTTCTATTAGAAAAAATATATATGAAGTAGGAAGTACTAAGGAGAAAATTTGAGACTTGTCAATGGGTTTTTTCTAGTTCAAAGATTTGTAGATCATTAAGGTGACCCAAGAATGTTTTACTAAATTGATTTTCCCTCGTGTGTTTGTATGTGTTTTTAGTGTAGCAGACTCATATGGTCAGATTATTTTACATATTATATTGGACAAGTGGACTTGTAAAATACATGTTAGTCTACAACTTTTTGATTTAGCCAAGTTTCCTATAAATTTGTAGTCTCCTTATTTACAATTTTTCTCAGTTTAGAATCTAGTTCAATGACTCAATTAGCATAATTCTTTGACCATTAAGAATAATCCCATCTATCTCTGTTTCTCTCTAATGCAGGCCCATTGTCATTTTACAAGACAAAGCATATATATATGAATTAAATAGTCTCACAAGAAATCCTAACATTTTGCTCAAGATACTTGGACAATATCGAGACTCGATGGAATCGAACAAGTCGTGTTGATGATGCTCATGTTGATACACAGCCACAAACACGTGTAGAAGAATTCTTTCCGCAAGTAGGTAAGCCAATTGGTGCTTCAACATATTTCAACCTCACTAACATGGAAAGATTACAAGCGCATAGACATGTGCTTACCAATTGCCCACTTGTTGAAAGATATCTTCAGTAAGTACGTAGGTATTTCATATATAATTTATTGTCATTCAGTAAGTTATGATAATGTTAAGAATAAAGTCATATATTTATTTAGGGAATTTAGGACCGATGTTAAAAGGCAACTAAGGAGGACTAGTCGAAATCAAGCAGAGATAGATAAGCGGGTGCATAGAGAGTTTGTAGAATGGTTCTCTAAACGTGTGAGTAATGTATCACATATTAGTTTTATCCAACTATAGTGTAAACTTTAATATAAAATACTTAACATTTTAATTACTACATATTGTGATGTAGATTATTGTAGATGTGAACAATATAGAACAATCAGATGTAGCTATCATGCTTTCCCTTGCAAAAGGTCCATTGTATCAAGCTAGAAAATTCAATGCATTAAATGTAAATGGCATGAAGTTTCGTACCTTAGAAAGAGACAACAACCTCAAAACTCAAAATAGTGGGGTTTATGGAACGTTTGACACTAGAAGCTATTCAAGTAGTAGAGATGACCAAATGATATGTGGGGGGGTTCCTTATTATGGGAAATTGGTTGACATCATTGAGATTAATTACAATGGTTTGTTCATAGTGCCTTTGTTTAAATGTCAATGGGCTGATACAACTACTCAAAGAGGGCTAAAAAAAGATAAATTGGGATTCACTCAGGTAAACTTTTCAAGACTCATACATTCTGGTGAAAAAGATGATGATGAGCCCTTTATAAAAGCTTCTGAAGCTCAAATGGTGTTTTACGTTGATGATGACAAAGAAAAGGGATGGAGCATACCGGTTCATGTAAAGCCAAGAGACTTGTATGATATGGGTGAAGATATTATGACATGGACTGGCCAATTTCCATCACAGAACTTGGACCATCTTGTTGTGGATGACACAATACCTCTTCAATTATCAAGACCTTCCACAGATGATGACAATCTAAATTTGCATGCTAATCCAACCGAGGATGAAGAAATGGGGATATGATATAGTTTGGTTCATTACAGTTACATGTTCTTCACATGGTTCTTATTTTGTATTTTGTGCAATGCTTCTGGGTTAGTGGTGGTTTTTGATCACATCACTACATAATTTTTATTTAATGTGTATAGGTCTGTACATGCTGGATTTACTGGTTAAACTTGTCCATAAAGTGGTGTTTTATGTTGCTTTCATTGGAACTATGGAGGTCTATGTGTACTTTTTGGTTATACTAGTTTATCCAAATTGATTGAGTACATGCTGGTTTACACTGGTAAATTTAAACTGGATACATCTGTACATCCACTATCTTTACTGTTTTTTTTTGGTAAATGTCTGTACCGTTTTAACTTGTTATACCAATGTGTAATTATGGTTTTATGTACACTATTCAGGTATATGTCTACTCGCTGGTCAAACTAGTTTATCTGAAATGTATGAGTACAAGCTGCTAATAGAGGATTTGAACTATATGAATATGTACATGCATCAGGATACTGTCAAATTGTATAATGCTGGTTTTAATATTATATTACATTAAGTGTGTACATGTTGGTTTGCCTGATTTCGTTAATTATATCCCAAATAGACATTTGAGATTTCTCTGTTTTGTACCACTATTATGTGTGCTTGCAATTATTTTTATCCAAGCAGGACAATGGCACGTACAAAGAGGTTCACTAGAAGGGTGCATCCCACAACCTCCTCTGCTAATGAAGGGACAACCAATGTGCAACAACAAAACCAAAACTCGGTAGTACCCACTCAACAATTGAGTACTCAGCCACATGAATTGGTGATCCACCAACAACAAGTACCTTCTGCTCAATCCCTACCACCATCTGCTCAATCAGGATCTGCACGAGCTGCAACTGCAAATACTGAACCTCCACCATCATCTGCTCAACCTACACCAGCACCTGCCGCCTCTGAACCAGTCTCTGCTCAATCTCAGCCATCTGATCGAAGACCACCACGAAACCCTTCCCAAAGGACATGCAACAAATACTGGGTTGTTAATGTGCTAGGTAACTGAGTCGTAAACCAATATTTTAAACGGCTATTAATCTTATATACAACTATATTTAATTCTTACAATTTTTTTTATCTTCTTCTTGCATTAACAACTTTTTACTAGCTGATAATGGAGTGGCTGATGAGGAAAGACTACGTGTGCGGGATGTATTGGTACTTCCTCCTCATAAGAAAGTAGTAGTGGAATGGAATGAGGACAATCAGCCTGTTGGGGAGGCTGCTGCCCTATTGCTTGGTTTTTTGGGTCACCTTGCATGCAACCCAAATATATTTCCTATTAGTTATGACAGGTGGCCTCATGTACCAGACATATACAAGGAAGATGTTTGGCTAAACACTATTCAGGTAAGAATGGTTCGTAACTTTTGTAACAGGCCCATGTTATAATTATGTCCACATTGTGTCTAATTTTGAGCTTATTACTCTCTTCCAGAGGAGATTCGTTATGGATAATGATGACCATTATCATTTCTGTGTGGGCAATATGGGTAAGAAATGGAAAGACAACAGGTGGAGGCTAGCAAATGAAATGTATGAAAAAGATAAAAGCTTTGAGGAAAATCTAGAATGTTTCCCTGATGGGATGACAAGGGAACAATGGGGTAGTTTCTTGGCTTATAAAACAAGTGAGAAAGCAAAGGTAATGAAGGATGGTTTTAATTTTTTTATTGCGGTCACTTGTATCCAACAAATACCTAAAACTTTTTTTTCGATGCAATGCAGAAATATAGTAGAATCAATACTGCTAATAGACAGAAACAAACTATCCCACATACACTAGGCTCAAAGACCATTGCAAGGAGGAAAAGAGAGCTGGTATGGTTTTGAAATAATGTTAATTGCCAGTTTACTATTCATATATTTTACTTCTGTAAAATTATGGAACTAATATTATTGTGCAATGCCAAATGTCAGGAAATAGAACGTGGAACAAAAGTGACCAGGGGGGAAATGTATGCTGTTGCTCATAAGAAAAAGTGTGGAAATTTTGTGAATGAGGAAGCTAGGCTGAAAAATGTAACCAATTTTCGTTGTAATTTATTTTGATTAATTACTGTCATACCTTTCAGGTACACTACTTGATAGTTAATTGATTGTATGCAGGACCAATTACTAGTACAGATGCAACAAACCAATTCTGAAGTAGAGGCTTTTATTAATGTATTTGGGAAGGAACACCCAGGTCGGGTTAGAGGCATGGGTTTTGGGGTGGTTCCAACCCAGATACGTAGAACATCAACTAGTTCATCCTCAACTTCTTCTAGTAGTCCTACACAAGCTGAATATGATGCCCTAAAAGAAGAGCTGGACACTATAAAAGGCAAGATGGAAGAGCTTGACACATTGAAAGCACAAATGGCACATTTTCTGCAAAATTTTGGAAGTCAATTGCCATCTAATCAGGTAAATGTGTCTTAAATCTGCTTTGGGATTTCTGATATCATATTCATTCTTGTTATATAGTTGACAAACCCTTATAATTTGGATAACCATTATGCATGTCCATTTCATATTAACATTGAAAATAGATCTCAATACTGTTCTTCCTATTAATTGTTGTCACTTCCAATGTGGTTTACATATTGTCGCCGGACCTTGTTATATAATTGAAATTGCTTTCATCTGCCATAAAACTCTGCATGTCAATTTAATATTACGTTTTAAAATAGGTATCATCATTCTCTTGTAATAATTGTTGTCATTGGTCTAAATACTGTCATCTTATCTTGTTATATAAATCATATTGCCATCACTTGGATAAAAAAATGTATATGTACCTTAAAGTTTGATCAATTGCTGTCACTTGGATCTACATTTGTTGCTTGGATCAATGCTGTCAGAATATCACATGCATTTCTTAATGTGTGTTGCTTGACTCTGTGATGCTTTGTCGTTTTTATACTGCTTGTTCACTTGTCAACTAAATCAACATTGCTCCTTTAGGAAATTAGGTAGAATGTTACAATTTTCAGTGTTGTGGTATTTGGGACTGAATTATGAAAATGGGGTAGGAACTCAACTTAAACCACTAAAGCTCAAATTGGCAGGAAGTCAATTTTCATACATGTGTTTTCTTGCCTAATTCTTTTACTGTTCCTGAACTAAATATTTTGTAAACATTGTCTTCGATTAATGTATGATTTATTTCCCCCCAAAATTTCAGGTTCCTGACATGGGATCTCCTGGAATTAGAAAGTCCTCCAATGCTAGTCATAACCCTTCTCTTGGACCAGAATCTTCAAATCATGGACCCACACCACTAGCATCTTAATATTGGACATCATTTCAAAGTTTTTGATGGAACATGTATTGTGGATATTAAGTTCCCCGAACCACTGCTTGTGCACTGAGTGCTATATTAGATGTTTGACATTATATTTTAAATTTTCATGTTTTTGATGTTAAGCATTTCCTAGGTATGTTTTGCTTATTACCTAGGAATAGGTTTTATATTTTTGGTGGTTTTGTATATTCAGTGCCACCCCAATAATATGTATGTCACTGACTCATTCTGTTTTGGATGTTAGGAATTTCCTGGGTATGTTTTGCTTATTACCTAGGAATGGGTTGTTTTGGATGTTAGGAATTTCCTTGGTATGTTTTGCTTATTACCTAGGAATAGGTTTTATATTTTTGGTTTTTTTGGTTATTCAGTGGCACTCCAATATGTATGTCATTCACTCCTAACGTCAATATTGAATACATATTTACCTTTTTTTGTAGTCTTCTACTCAATGCTTAAATATCCCTTTTGCATAAATTACTATTACATATTACAATATAGGATTTCTTATAAAAACAAAATAATTTTTTATTTTTTTTTAAAAAATTATGCAAATTGCTAGCGGGTTATTAAGACCGTCGAGTACAATAAATTTGCCGACACAGTTAACGGACACCATACCCGCCTGCATTTTGAGTTCTAGCGGTTCATCTAACCGCATGCAATAATTATTATTGCAATTCATGAAATTAGTCTGACGACATCAACCGCCAATTAAAACGCTTCGATATGTTTAAACCTGGCGGTTAATCTAACCGCTTGGAAATATTTTTTATGCCATTGATGAAGTCATCTCCGACGACATAGGACGTCACGTGGGCCGCCCTGAAATGTCAGTGGCTGATATTCCAGCGGTTTATCTAAACCGCCTGTGAATGCATCGCGACAGTAATAACCCAGACGGATTACAAACCGCCAACTGAAGAAAACAAAGGCGGTTTTAACCGCCTATATATATCAAACAAACCGCCTGCAAATACCTACTTTCTTGTAGTGAAACCGAAAGGCCACGGAAGATGTTCTTGAGGCGAACAGGCTGGCGAATATGACCATGATGAGGGTCATGTTGGAGGAGATGAGGGCTGGCCACAATGAGGGTCAGTTTCCTCCGCCACCACCTCCACCGCCTCCACCCAGTCTTCAGGACGAGAGCTTGAGTCACGTTGAGGGTGCCACTCCTCTTACTGGGTGACGGAACCCTACTTGAAGCCTGCTGAGGATCGTGACGTGATTGACTGCCGGCTTAATGCTTTCCGCAAGCATAAGCCACCTTCCTTTGATAGATCTTATGATCCTATTGCTGCTGCGAGATGGCTACAGGCGCTGGATAAGATCTTCAGGGTCATGCAGTGCACCGACTCGCAGAAATTGATGTTCGCCACATATATGCTGGAGGGCGATTCACATTGTAACACCCCGTGTTAACCCAGTTTGTTAACATGTCATCGTATTAAGCCACGCTTAATATTAAAATGCGGAATAACTTTTTCTATTCAATTATGATGTCATTATACTTAGTCAAGTTGATTATTAAAATCCAATTACAAAATATCGCCTGTATGTGATTGCAATCCAACAACTAACTGAAATACCTCACAACATACATGTGAGTATCTAAGTCACGGATCTACAACACGTAGTCCGGATAATATCTTGATATATAATTAATTACAACTAGAAACAACTAAACATAAAGTCAATTCAATGTGGCATGGACAATCCCCATGCTCACCAAATAAGGTAAACAAGTCCCACAGCAGTCTCGCAATAACATCATGAAACTAAAAGCATAAAAGGCAACAGTCAATATCCAGCAATCAACACAAGCAGCATAACATCATATAATCAGCTAAGCTCCGGCCTCCTGCCGCTAGAGGTCTCAACCCCCGCATTACCTGAACCTGAAATATATGCCCCAAACGTGGGGCGAGATCTCTAAAAAGAAATCTCAGTAAGACAAGGGGTCCTCAAGGATCTTCCACCCCAAGCTCACTTACATGTGCAATATAAGTTCAAAAGCAGTTCAACAGTATAAGTTCCAAAATAGTGCAATGCAGCAGATAATCATGTCATGTGTGTTATAACAATTCTACTGATCAGAGAAGTGTAGGAATACGTCTATTACCCACACAGTACTAGCCCATGCTGTACCCGCCCCCAGTACCACCCAATGGCTTCCAGGCTAGGCGAAACACCACATACATATCATAAGCTTTTTGCACTTAACAACTCCATAGCATTTCAACAAAACAGTACATGAAAACACATCATGCATATAAACCATCCCCCCATGGGACATGGTGGAACATACAATGGCTAAACCGTGGACACGAAAGCTTACCTTGCAAGCTAACTATCCAATGCCAAGAGTCCACACAAGCTCAAGGTCCAAACACAACAGAATCACAATCTGTTATGGACCAATTAACATATCAATATTCAACTCTACACTCATACAATATAAAGACAATGCCTTTCCATACGTTCCATGTCTTTAGGCTTCTCACAAAGCCACAAGCCCTTAATCACTTAGATTCTGAGTTACAATAATTATTACAGAAGTTCAACTTCATCAACATAGGGTCCACGAACCCATAACTCAGTTCTGTATGAACAGTACCGTTACTGTTCACGCAAACCCAGAATATCCGAATATTTGTCGGGGTCATATCCGGATATTCAGAACCACATATCCGGATATCAATATCCGGATATCCATATCCGGATATTTCGCGACAGAATGCAGTTTTGCATTTCGCGAGATATCAATCCAAAGGTGGTTCATTTCACGACTCCAAAGGCTTAAGCATGCATTTTAAGGTGTGTTCAAGCTTACCCAACCACAAGTTATTAACTTTAGTCCATTACATGCATCAATGATTCATTTTTAGCTAAGGAAACTCAAGTTCATGGGTGGTAAGGCTTACCCAAGCTTAAAACAAAGGTGGATGATGCTCTTGGAGCTCACCAATCAGCCTCTACACTTCTGACTTTCAAGGCACACGAAAATACCACTCAAGCAAGGATCTTTCTTCACAAAGTTTGCTTCTTGGAGCTCAAAGTGCCAGTACAATGGCTCCCAAGACTCTCACCAAGAATTCAGCCCCAAGAACCTCAACAAACAGAGATGACAACTCAGAAAATATGCTTCTCACTCACCCAACACAAGCCACTAAGTGTTTACAAGGAAGAACCATGAGAAAAGGTTATCATTTGGTGGTTTTCCAAGGAGGAAATGGTGGTGGCAAGAGGAGAAGGCACCAAGTCAGAAATGGGAGACACAAGGATCACGTAGGGAGGCTGAGAATCAGCCTAGGGTTAAGTGCCCTTAGTATATATAGGTGGTTTAAGTGTAAACACACTGTATTAGCACTAATAGCTACGCTTAGCATTTTAATCCCAAACTTAGGATTCTGAACCTACTCATTTTTCTAAGATTTATCATATTTTTATTTTATTTTTTGCAGCACCTTTCCGGTACTCGCTTTTCCATAGCCAATATCAGTTCTGGCACCAGTTCTCATTATTTTAACTTGAAACTCTTTTTACAAGTCCTATATATTATTCTAGTGACATATACTGACTTTTCATAATTTTCCGGGATACTTCATCGGTACGTATTTATACCGAGTAGCAGAACCGGTATCTGCACTTTTCGACAGAAAAGCGACTTTCAGCATTATAAAACACTTACCATAATTATTTAAGCCTCATAATAATTATTAGGGTCAATTATGGAATTATTTCCTAATTTCACATAATTAATTAATTAACTTCCTTAATTAACGGTGCGGGTTCTTACACACATGAGTGGTGGATGAACACCTCTCACGCTTTTGAGATGCAAGGTCATGTTATGACATAGCCATTCTTTGAGGACTGTTTCCTTGGGAGGTATTTCTTGTATGATGCTCAGGAGAGGAAGTAGGGAGAGTTTGACAGGCTAGTGTAGGGCTCGTTGTCTGTTGACGAGTACTTGGCTAAGTTCAATGAACTGGTCAAGTTTGCACATTTGAGGATCGCTATGCCTACTCTGACATTTTTTGCTGCTAAGTTCCGTAGGGGACTTAACGAGGAGATAGCTGATCGCATTGCTGGAGCTACATAGAGAGATTTTGGGACACTGGTACAGCAGTGTCGAGACATAGAGGATGTATGCATTGTGAGCAAGGCCAAGAAGGCCAAGATTGCTGATGTTTAGGGAACTAGTAGTCCCACTTCCTGGAAGGACATGAAGTTTGCTAGTAAGGGAAAGGGAAATCAGTTGGCTGCTAGGCAGGCGCCTAGTCAGTTCTAGAGGACTTCTTCGCAGCAGGGAGGTTTTGCTAGACCTCTTTCCACTCCTAGATGTGCGGGGTACGGAAAGGAGCATGCAGGACGTTGTGCTACTGGCCAGCTAATCTGTTTTCACTGGGGCAAGGAGGGCCACTACTCCAGAAATTGTCCGTCGTCGACGGCGAGAGCTGCAGCAGTTCAGGCAATTCCACTTCAGATGGTTCCCCTTCCACCTATAGCGGCACTTGCAGTGCCACATGCCACGGCTCATGTTTACACCCTGGATCGACAGTAGTCAGAGAGACCTCTGAACCTTGTCAGAGGTACTGTTTCCATTGGTGGATCTGTTGTTGATGTCTTGTTTGACTCTGGGGCTACGCATTCATTTATTGCAACCCCGATTGCTGTGGGGCTTGAGTTGCCCATTGCTGTGCTTTCTCCACCGTTGCGGGTGACCACCGCCACCGGAGAAAAGTGTGATACCTCCACTGTACATCAAGATGTCGTGTTTCAGTGGGATGGCTGTGATTTTTCGGTAGATCTGATTGGGTTGCCGATGGCTAACTTGGAGATCATCTTTGGCATGGATTGGCTGTCCAAGAATTGTGTTATGATTGACTGTTGTGCCAGGCGAGTGGTGATGTCTCTGTGTGACTTCACAGCCAGGTAAAAAATAAGAAGTAAAAGAAAATTTACAGAGCAGGTAAAATGGATAACTTTTTTAATTTCTAACAGTATCAACAGTGGATTTGGATGGAAAAAAGCACAGTGAAATGAATTGATTGGAAAAAAAATAATCTTAAGAAGGTAAATGATTCTAAGAAAATTCACAGGGTTTTTGAACTTTTCTCTGTTTTTTCTTTAGAAACTAATTTCAAGATATTAGTGTAAATTCAAGAATTTATATCAATGTATGTAGACTTCTTATTCTTAAATCAATGTAAATGTAACATGTCCTGTATATATATGGCGCCCAATGACAAATTTATACAAGTGTAAGAATAATGAATCTTACACTCGATCTTAAATGTTGATTTATTTCTATTTAACGATTCTGATTTATTTATACGTGAGTTGTTAAATACAAGTGAGATTAATAATTATGACGATTAGTCAATTCCCTCCAAATATATATGTAAACTGTTTTATTTGCATGAAAATAACATAGTTTATTTTATTCATGCATTAAATAGTAGTAAGTTTATTTTATTGGGAATGAGATCAACCCATCAAGCTCAATCCATAAGATTCGAGTATTTACTCTTTATTGACAAATGGGTATATCTCATATCGGAAGTTGCAGCTTCCGCCCACAACCCTGCCTCCTTCTTTCCCATCACAACAATTCGGAAGTTCGTTAATTGCATCATCAAGACACTTCTTGCAATCACTGCTAGAAAGGTCTCTAGTGCACTGCGTCAACCCATAAAGCTTCTCTGATTCCTCAAGCTTTAGCTCTCCGGTTGCATACAATTTAGGGTTCACAGAAGCTTTCTGAGCAAGCTGACTCAATAATTCTTTAGTCTTGTAGTTGAAAGTGGAAGGGTCACTTACTTTATTCAAGTTCCACATATAGAACTTGTTTGTGTTGTCAATATTACCAAAGAAATCTGTATCCAAGTACTTGAACAAGCAGTAATCATACCATATGATGGCACCTTTATTGTAAGGGCAGCGACTGCGGATTTCTTTGGTAGCCTCAGAAACACAAGTTTTGCAATCTGAGGTTGAGACATCACCTCTGCAAAGAGCGAGTCCATATGTTTGTTGGTTTTGGTATTGGCCAACTGAGACAACACCAAAACCTGTTGGAGGGGTCTTGTAGACAAGTGAGTTGATGAGCGTTTTCAAGTTTGATTCATAGGGACTATCAGATGTGAAGTTCTGTGAGCTTGAACAGAAATGGAAGAGAGGGTCAGCACCAAAAGATGTTTGGAGGATGAGAGCTAAGGTAAGGGAGAAGAGAATAATGGTAAACAGCTTTGAGGAAGACATTTTGGATGAAGGTGATCAAGGAAATATTTGTTTAAGATGGTTTTGATTTTGGGATTGTGAAGAGAGAACCTATTTATAGGCCTTTGAGGAAAAGTTCAAGAAGTTGACATTTTCTATTGACCATTTTAAATAGCCAGATAGGCAGCACCTTGTCAAAATTTGGCCATGCTTTGACAATTTGGAATTAGGATAATGTCTCTGTCTATCTTTGGTTTCTTATTCAGTCATTAAAAGTCACGAATTCAAGCATGCATGGATTCGTTCCTTTTAATTTTCAGAATATGGTTTCTTCTTTTTGGCCATTTCAAATTATGATTGATGTATTGTTTAGTTTGACATAAATGTAAATTATTTTATAATTAATAGATTTATGATAAATATTGTTTACGGAAAAATTATACCAAACCACCTTGTACAGTAAATTTGCATCAGTCAAACAAGAATCATTAGTGTTTTCATAAGCGCTTCGCAAAAGTAAATCAATTATATATTGTGACAACATTGATGAACCTATCGAAGAATCATAATAATGCAATAAAGTGTCATCTTAACAGTATTCTACATTTTATTTTGGCCAAGTTTATATACAGCATTCCGCATTTGAGTTTTAGAAAAAGACAAAATGGACGGAACTATAAAAAGATCTAATTAAAAAAAAAAATAATTAGAGAAGAATTTTTTTTTATCCAGGAATCTCGATTTTCAGAAATATGATTTTTTTCATTCAGTTTACGATAATATTCAAAAATTAAAAATTTAGAAAAATTCAATTTCTCGAAAATCCTAAAGAATACCACATACCAAACACCCCTTTAAATGTATTCTAAAATACGTGATAGTGGTAATCAACACAATAAAGCCAGCACTAGCTAGTGCTTAAAGACCCAGTCACTAGGGTGCATCACTATCATTGTCTTATACATAATTTATTCCCTCAGCAGGTTGGCAAACCTCAGTATATATGTTCATCCAATAAGTGACCCTGAAACTTTGAATTGTAGGATTGCCTAAATTAAAATAATATGGGCTGTAAATGCATAGTGCTCACGCAACTAAACCATAAAGTTCTATCTTAACAAATAAACTTCATCTATATGAAAATTTCTCACCATACATCAGCCAAACCTAGAAAGTTGAAAAAATCATTCACACTTATGCACGTTCTCTAGAAATATTAACGATTAAGTGCATGTACGAATAATTGGTCTAAAATTACTTTTAAGCAATTAAGATAAGATATATATGTTTTAAAAGAAATTTTATGTATGAAAACATTTACTAAGATTGATCTTATAAAATTTGTACCTAGATAGTATTGAATAAAATTAATTTTAAAATTGAAATCGTTAGAAGAGTGTTTTATTTAAAATTATAGTGGGAAAAATTGGTTAGACAATGTTTTTTTTTTTCATAATCTACATGATTATGTCTTTAGGTACATTTCTAAAGCCTACACACACACACACAAATAAAAAATAAAATCTTGAAATAATAATAAATCACAAAATCAAAATGTTGATAATATAGCTTTGAAAAATATTATTTTTAAAGCATTTTATGCATCAACCCAAACATTTTTTTTTAAATAAAAAATTAAGTACATAGGAAAACATGGGAGTGGAATATACAAATACAAATACAGAGGGGAGGAGGGGAATGGATCCTCCTATGCGTTAATTAGCATGATCATGTTATATGAAAAAATTCTAACCATACAAAGATGAATTAATAGTGATAAAGAAAGAAAAAAAAATAACAATAGGAAGTTATAAAATCATCACTGTTAATTTGATTATAAATGATTGATCATCTAACATACGATAAATTTCCAGCAAACATACACCCAGTTGATGATGAGAGTTGAAAATCAGGGGCAGTGGAAATTAAAAAAGTAATTGGGTTTCCAGAAGTTAATTTATGTGTAAAATTGTTAGTTTCGGTGGTGTTGACTTAAGAGATTATCGACTGCGACGCTGCAGGGATCCGGATTAAAACTATTATCTTTCGTCAATCATATCATGCATCATTAATGAACATATACATATGCCTGATCAGAATATCAAAATTTTGTACCAGCTTCTAGAAAAGGAAAAGTATACAAGATAAAAGTATACACTACTAGAGAAAGCACGATATAATCAACTGAATTTTTCCAACGAATTTCATGAAGATTCCGTTGATAAGGTAGTCATGGATCGAAAACCTTCGATCGACACATTGCATCTATTATTGTCGTCGGATTTTTCTTTTGACGTACAAATTGTATCTGTAATAAAATACAGATGGAAAAAATTCCTTCAAAAATACATAATTTTCGTCGAAGAGTTTTAGTCGACAATAGCTAAGTGAGCGTAATTAAAATAGAGTGATAGTGAGAAATTTTGAAAGCAGATGTTGGCTTCGTGTGCATAAGTGAAAATTTTGGTAAAGAAAAGTTCCCCTAATTAAACCGGTTCACCAACGCGAGCAAAGTCTATCAAAATTTTCAACGAACTCTTCGGCATCGAAAGAACAATTCTCTCTGTTAACGATGAGGTCACCGACGTAAATATTTAGATCGTCGAAGTCTTCAATCGAAATAACATAGTCAATATAGTATCAAGAAAAGAAAAGAAAGAAATAACCGTCAAAAAACCTGTGTAGGTGTTCGAGAAGTGCATCGATGGAATTATTTCCACGGAATTTATTCTTTCTAAATGTGTGTGGGTATACATACATTTACTCGAAAATGGTGTGTACTGGTTTTACCTTTTCGACTGCGTTTTTCTTTGAGTAACGCCGTCGATATAACTTCAAACGTTAATTTTGTCTATATTTATGACAAAAAATTTTATGCGCTATTGTGGGTCCCAGCGATGGAGCAAGGGAGAGCTGATCCCCGAGACATTGACCAAACTGACACAGCTTTCATAAAAATAAAAATATTATTGGTATGCTGTGCTCTAATAGAAATTTTTCAAAATGTCACGTTACAATCTCGCTACACCACCAAGCGAGATTGGAACGGATACGTGGCAGGCTACAAGGGTGCCCCATTCACGCTGATCTGACAAGCGAGAATGGGTTGTCAATCACGCAGGCAACAACTCCTAAAAAGCTGTCCACGTGGCCATTCTTGCTAGGCTGCCAGACAAGAATGGTTGTACTTGCAGACACGTGTCAGCACCATGCCATTCGCGCTGGGTTGCTGACCAAGAATGTTTTGTACTTTTCTGACACGTGTCAGCACCCCACCATTTGCGCTAGGCTGCTGGGCGTGATTTGTTCAGATAAACCCACGTGTCAGCAGTATCGCTGGGCAGCCTACCAAGAATGATTCTTCTATATATAGTAATAAAATGTCCACATTCCAGCAACCATTTTTGGGGAAAAATAGTCGATGACCCAAAATTGCTATTTCAGGTTATATTCTATAACTGTTTCTTTTTCTTATAATTTTATATTATTCGTTTAAAAATGAGTGATAGTAATGATTCAGTAATTGCTCTGTTATATTACAATGGGAGAAAATATTTGGGTCCAAATGGCTAAGTTTTCGAAGAAGAAACGAAAATATTTCGTATGAGCCCGCGATGTAGTTTTAATGAAATGATGAAGACAATATGTGACACCTTCCCCTGTATGCATCCAAGGGAGTTGTCTGTTAAGCGAATTAGAGTCATATTATTCTCGTATAAGTTCTGAAAACTTTTTTTTCGTCTAATTAAAATTTCATTTTCAAATCTGGTCAAAAGAAATTAAAACAGTGTGAAAACTTAATGAAATATATGGCTTGCTGAAATAATCATTTTCCTGAGAAATCTGTCTTCGTGCAAAAATTATAATAAATCGTGCTTTCAGAATTTCATTGTAAAATTTATATAATCAGAAACTAGACACGTGGGGCTTCGCGCGCATATAAATTATAAGCAATTCGGAGGCCTGTAGCCCCACTAAATATAACTCGCACAGTGCTCGCAAAACAGTTTATAAAAACAGCACTTCAAAACGTTCAGAAATTATTTTCGCAAAATGTTTCCAGAATTTTCCAAATTTCGAACCGGCCATAAAAACCTTAAAACAGTAGCTAAATGATGCTTCCAACAGTAATCCAAACTTCCCAAAATATTACAATAATATAGTCATCCAACAGACAAACAATCAACAACAGAAAAGCCCAAACAACAGCAATTAATAGCAATCATCCATTTAACCACGTCCTCATATGCTCTTTCGTCCCCCTGCAATTTTATAAAAATTGCAGCCCCAAAGGGGTGAGAAAAATCCCAGTAGTGTGATAACAAAACAGTAATGCAACAGTACTAACTAGCTACAGAATTATAAAACAGTCGCATCATTAGTTCAAATCCGTCAAATATTAATCATAATCATAGTGCGTACATAACGCCAAAAGGTGCGTATATAACGCCAAAAGTGTACGTTCCTAGCACTAAGGTGCACGTATCACTAACAAACATAGTGGAGAATCCTGGGTGGCTCCTCAAAAGGGCTCCAACTGTGACCTAAGCGGACAGAAGCCAAATGTCCCATACCCTGGTACCGGAGTGATGCCTATATGATGCGTGCCCAAACATATGGTTACTTTTCATAATTATTTTCAGTAATCACCATGAAAAATATGCAGGTATGCTATGTAATGGTCCGCACACAAAGCAGCTAAAATTATGATATGGGTATGCATAACTAAATAATAATCAACATAGCATGTGTTCCATTGATTTCCAATAACAAAATGCTGAACACCAATTACTTCCCAAAACAGAATTTCCAGCACGTCAAGTCCATGAACAACATACGAACAACATATACAAAATTCGAATCCAAAGCATGAGAGCAACATTCACAATCCATGTACTAGCAAGCAGTCACAAAGGTAATGCCACCAGACACTTACCTCGCGTGCCACAAATAAATTACCAAACAGCAGCGAAATAGTCCACGGTCTTAGGGGTTTCGCGTACCTAATACACCATTGCACCAAATCAGAATTTCACATAATT